GCTTTCGTTTCTCGTCTTTGTTATCTACAGAAGCTATTAGTGTCTGGTCGAAGTTAATGAGTCAAGAAATGAGTTATCGTAAAGCTTGAACTGATAACAAGCCTTAAAAAGGCTTACATTTTTTTGTAGATTTCGTGGATAATCCTCGAAGTTTTAATCTTTTTACTGCTATATATATCGGCAAATTATGCCAGCGACGAAGAATATCGGTTGTTACGGGATCTACGAAAAAATTATGATCCATATGAACGCCCAGTATCCAATAGTTCACTACCATTAAATGTTACGATGAAACTGTATTTACAACAAATTTTGGATGTGGTTAGTGTTTTGCAATTTGTGACAGAGTTGCCAAATGCCATGCTTTTTCTTACCTGCTTTAATTAGTTTTATGCAATTTTATGGATTTTTATTTTAAATCTTAGTTTGTAATTTACATTAATGTTTGCAAAAAATATATATACTTGTAAAAAATTTGTTTTATCAGTAGCATTTCATTCAAATTAAATAGTCAATTGTTTTTGCAGGACGAAAAAAATCAAGTGGTAACTCTGGTTGCATGGTTGGAATATGTAAGCAACAAAAATTATTTCTGTTGAAAATTAAAAATTAACTCTAACAATTTTTTTAATAAGAAAGAAAAACAGAGCAAAAAAAAGCTTTTTTTGTTTTACTTTATTAAAGGTTATTGTGAAACTTGAGAAAGCTTTTTTTTTTCGAGAAAGAATTTTGCTAATTTATGTGCATTTTTCAAACAAAAAGTAATTAGTCTGCTGAACTTTAAAAAATAATTTTTTTTTTTGCAATTTTAGCAGTGGAATGATTATAAACTTCGTTGGGATCCCACTGAATATGGTAATATAAATTCGGTTCGGATTCCGGGAGCGTCAAATTCAATCTGGAAACCAGATATTCTTCTTTACAATAGGTAATCAGTAATATTAGCAGAAAAAAGTCTCATATGGATGAAAACAGATTGCTATTTTTGGAAAGATTTTAGTGCTGATGAAAATTTTGATACCTCATATCCGGTGAACTTTGTTGTTAGTTATGACGGCAGCGTTTTACAAGTGCCACCAGGAATCTTGAAACTGTCCTGTAAAATTGATATCACTTGGTTTCCTTTCGATGATCAATGGTGTTACCTTAAGGTACTGTTAAAATTTTCTTAATATCTGACAAAAGTTTTATCAGAATGAAAGTCTGTCGATGTTTATCGCTTTACGAAACTTTTGCTGCGGTACTTTTACCTAAGGTTGCCCTTATAGATTTTAAACAAACAAGGTTTTAAAAAATCAAGATTTTTTTATATTTTGTATAAACCTTACTTAAAACAGAAGATTTTATACGATTTAGCAGTTGGTAGTCGAAGTTCAATTATAGTTTGGTTCTTGGACATACAGCGGGCGATTCATTGAGCTACAAGTTGCTAAAGCTAATGAAAATGACAGCAAAAATGATATGGATTTGCATTACTATGTGCAAAATGGAGAGTGGAATCTATTGGGTAACTATGATAGTTTCCTGTTGAAGCTTGAAAGATGTGAAGATTGTCGGTAAATCAATGAAATTTCTAGGCACTCCTGCTTATGTAGTTCGTTCTGTATTTGATGACGAACCATATATTTCAATCTTCTTCAACATCATAATCCAAAGACGAACCTTGTATTACGGACTTAATCTAATCATTCCATCTTTACTGATCTCTCTGATGACAGTTCTCGGATTTACGCTTCCACCAGACGCTGGCGAGAAAATTACACTTGGTATATTTTGCTCTTTTCTTTTCTGTACTTAATCAGATAATAATTCAGCTATTTGATAATTAAATGTGACAATTTCGCTGCAGTAATTTTTGCTTTGTCATATGAGTTAGACAAATTTTCTGCGTTCGAGAAGCATGTGACTGCTGTGAGATTCTGGTGGTTGGTTATAAATTGTGGTATTTTAGAAGAACGAAATACTAGACAGTTCTGATCTTTATATTTTAGAGATAACCATTCTGCTGTCTATTTGCTTTTTTCTAAGTATGGTTGCTGAAATGACGCCTCCGACAAGTGAAGCTGTGCCTTTGATTGGTAACTTTGCATACATTACTATTAATTACTCTATAGTGTTGTCCTCTTTTTTTCTAGAACACCGCAAATTAACGTTTGAAGACGTCGATTTGATCATGTTTAAAACAGTTATTTTACGTAATTAATAACATTTATTGAAGTTACACCAAATGCTGCTTAAAAAATTTCGCTGTGGCCCTAAATTATTAAAATTAGCCAAAAGCATTAAATGAGAACCATTTAAGATTGCTGACAGACAGCTAAGAACGTTTAGCGCTTAATTACTAAAGTGATCTATGTATCGCACTAATCTTCTTACACTTTTGTAACTGCTAACTGAAGCAGGTCGATTCTAATCATTATTATATTTGACGTGCAAAATTACCAGTGACGAACTTTGCAGGTGCATTTTTCTCCTGTTGCATGTTAGTTGTATCTACTAGCGTTGTTTTCACAGTCCTGGTGCTTAACCTACACAACCGAAAACCGGAAACTCACGAAATGAATCCGTTTGTCAGTAATTTTAAAGCACTTTGAAAGTTATTTTTAAGGTCGTCAGATTTCAAAATGTAACTACTTTTGCAAATAATATGATTTAACAAAACAGTGTGGAAGACCATAAAGTAAAAAAGTTGTACTTCCTGAAAATTTTAACGTAGCATAAACCTTTTTCTAATAATCGTCTATTATAATTTAGCTTCGAAAATGGCTTCTGCATTGGTTACCGTGGATTTTGATGATGCGACGGCCCGGAGTAACATCATTTTCTTACGAGTCTATCAAGAATTTGAATAAAGAGGAGAAGCAAGCAAAAAACCCGTTTGAAGGTGTGCAAATTGGTAACTTTGAGTCTTCAAACGGTACTACCTTGATGAAGTAAGTTTTAAACGTTCAATATTGTGGAATTAAAGTACTGGAACCAATTTCTTTATGCTTAAAACTGTTAAACATAACTGATAGCAAAAAATCAATTTACAATATGTCTCAACCTAAGCAAAGAATATTTTCCAGACGCTTGAAGGTCGGAGACCCACTAGAGAAGCCTGCGTCAACAAGTCACAGAAAAACACCACTTGCTGAGGCATATCACTACCGATGTAATCACAAGAAACCTTGGGAAAGGCCTGGAACTCATCGGTATCAGCCTGAAGTAGGTGTTTATAGCTCCTTTTTTCTGCAACGGCATCAGTTTAAAAACAGTGAATCATAATCGTAAACAAAATTTTACAGAAATAGAGAAGTAAAAGGTGATAATTCACTGCTCCTTTTAGAGATTTTTTCTGGTAGCTTGAAAATTCACAAACAGTTTTTAGCCTCGATTTCTAAGCCAACAGTACCAGAAACCCAGTGAACGAATCCGTACAATGTTACCGTATCAGCGGTATTCGTTCGATTACCCTCCGCAACCAAGACAACGTAAAAAAATTTCTTCTACATTTTATTCATGTTGAAAAGCTTGAGCTTATTTACGGTCGAAGGACATATTCAAATAGATACGCCTCATTAGAACAGCGACATCAAATATATGATTTCTTCCAAAATTACGGCTAGCCTTTTTCGTGCTTAGTTTTTTTAAAGACGGTTAATTATTTCATAAAGAGATTAGTAAACGTTGCTTTTTTGTTCTAATGTTTTCACTAATTAAAGTTTTTACTTGAATGGTTAATTGTCATTATGTTATTGATTTATACTAACGTCAGTTCTGTTTGTTAAACGTTTTCAGCAAAAATAATGATTGATGTGAACAAAAGTGTTCAACGAGTTTGTGTGGAACTTCGTGATATTGCTAGCCATATGAAGGCTTTGCGAAAGACTATGGAGGAGGAGGAAAGAGTAAGTTGTCCTTACTTTCTTTTTTTATTTTGCTTCTCAAGAAAGGTGTCAACTGTTTGTGTGTCGCAACAAGGTTTTGATTCTACGTTTTTTCTTGATTTACAATTTTAAAATACTATGTCTATATGTTTTTGGTTTATAGCATTGAAAAAACCTATAAAACCAAAGAGATCAAAAGTTTTGAATTTAAGTTTTACTCTGTTAGCTAAATTTTAAAGTCAAAATAATTGCGGGTTTGATTCTTCTGACAGTTTTTGCCTCCAAATGATTAAAGTTAAATAACAGGTATCATCTGATGGAGCATAGGGATTATAGTGATAATTGGGACATTGCAACATTGCTGCTCAATAGCTTTTATTTTTTAGGATAGTCAGGCAGAAAACGACTGGAAGTTTGCGGCGATGGTTGTAGACCGGATGTGTTTGTTTGCATTTTCAGTATTTATTGTTGTCTCCACCTGTGCAATAATGTTCAGTTCTCCGCATCTTATTGCATAACAGAAAACATATCGTAAATATGCGGAGTTGTTAATTAAAATTTTAGTGCTGTATTATTTCTGTTGTTTATTGTCTTACTTTTTCCAGTTGATGTTACTGTCTGAACTGCCTTTGTTTGAGTCTTAGTAAAAATCTCTGTAAAAAAAGGATGAAGATTGTGTTCGTAACCGATGTAACATAATTTAAATAAAGCACTTTTTTAAATTACGTTTTTCTATGCCGAAATAAAGATCAAATAGATTTGGAAATGTTGAGTGTAAAAATCTACATTTTTTTCTGCTAAGGAAATAAAGCGATCATTTTAAATAGCATTGTCAGAGTCACCGAGGCAAAAGCCGAAAAAAAAAAAAAGAAAACAGGTGTCGAAGATTAATTAATCATTTAAGGTTTACCGCTGAATTTTATCTTGCTATTATACTATAGTCACTGTTAAGCTATGGAGCAAATAATGCTGTCATAAAAGGTCTTAGTTTACAGAAATGACTTCAAATGGTTAAGGCGAAAGATTGTAAATTTTTAACAGAAGCATTTTGGTCGGCATCCTGTCTTTACGAAATATTCAGGTTACTAATCAAACCTTGTCAAAGCAAATAAAGGTTGTATCCGTACTTGTAAAGGTATAGTGTTTGGCTTTGGCACTGATAGGTTGTACAAAGTTTCAGAGTAATTTAGCAAATACTACAGTAATCAAACTGATATAGTTTATATTATTTTTAACACTGTCTCATTCAAATCTGTTAAAAGTTTTGAATCATGAGTTATTGCCAACTGAAAATCAACTAAGAATTGACAAGTAGACCAGAAAGGTGCATCATACACGAGGGGAAAAAAAGAAACCAAAAAAGGGTGGAATATTTGTAGTGTTGATTAAGCAGACAATCGTATGGTACTGATTAATACATCAGTCGTCGTTGTTTATATCTGCTAACTTTGTTGTATACAGACAGATTTTAAAGCTCTTTTTCTTTAATATTAAAAAATTTGTTTATTGTTGAGTTGATATGTTGTTGTTTTTGTATAGGTATTTGTTCGTATGTAAAATAAATAAGTAAAAAAAATGATAAGAATGCAGCTAATTAACTGGAAGTCAAAAGCGAAAATTTGATGTTAGCGGTATATGACCAAATTGCTTTAATGCCAATATGTACAGATGAGAGTTAGTTGTGCCAAAAAAAAAAAAATAAAATAAAATAAAATAAAAAGAAAGAAAAGTTTTTATATTACGTATTTTTGGTCGTTGTTAAACAACAACTCTTTTTTTCTTCACTTTATGGGTTTCCTGGCAACATAAGAATTGATAACTTGGCGAATGTACAAATAAATAAGTGAATGAATGTATGTATGAGTGAGTGAATGAATAAATGAATGTATGGATGAATAAATGAATAAATGAATAAGCGAATGAATGTTATTTGTGCAACAATTGCTGTACTCAAAAATTTTGCTGCAATTCTGAGACAAAACTGAAACCATTTATCTGCTTTTATCTGACAATATCAGATGACAACTGCTTCTTCATTGATTCTGAATCCTTTTCGCTTGTAAACATTTTTCAAAGATTTAGAAAAAAAAAAATTTCCCAAGAAGAAAGTAATCACAAAAAAATGTTTTATTGCTTTTTTTACTGCTTGACCAAAAAAAAAACTTCGTTTAGTTGTTGATGATGTCAAAATGTTTTAAATAAACCAAATGAATGTTAAACTAAAAAAAATTTGTACACTTTTTAATTGATAACCATTCTTGCTTCGATTATATTATATGCTACAGCAGTGTTTTTTTCCTTTCATTTCTGTTTTATGTTCAAAGCATAAATAGCAGCATAATTCAATCGAAGCTTTTTTTTTTCGCTAAAATTGATTATAAGCACAATTTGGCTTCAATTCAATACTTTTTAGATTGTATTTATTTTCGCTTGTTTGTTTTTTTTTTTATTGTGTAAAAAATTGTACAACTTATTTTCGAATTTCGAACTAATAGATGCGTTTAGATGTTCAGTCAGTTAATGATTGTCCCAAGGTTTGAACTAAGTACAATTTTAGTGTAACCAATTCAAAAGCAATAACACTTGTCTATAACATGAAAAAATCTTTAGTATATATCTATATGACTGCTTTTCAAAATTCAGTTACTCAAAACAGTGTTCGTTGAAGTGTAGAAGCGTAAACAGATTGCAAAATCTTGTTAAAATTAGTAAATTTTTTATTTTACTGTATCATTTCTCTTTGCTTTTTTTTTTTGCAAAACTTTAGGAAGGCTTTATTATTTTTTAAAATGACTGTCAAAAACGATTAGAAATAAAAAAAATGAAAGAAAAATTGCAAATAACAAATTTTTAAAATTATATTACTCAGAAGACGATGAACTAATCATTTGCCTTTATTTCACTTAAAATTTGATAGCAAATAGACGTTTCAAGTGCTTACCCATACCATCTTTGTTGTTCATTTACATACTACAAAAAAAAAGCAAAGGAAGGTAAGGGTAAAAAATAAAGTAGTATTTTGCTTATCCTATCGACGCTGTTTTTCATCTGTCAAGTTTTATTTTGACTAAACAACACTTTCAAAAGCACATAGTTGATACGTATCAAAGTTCATAAATGAAGTAATAACAGACAATAATAAAGCTTAATGATGTTGTTTAATTGCATCCTGAAAAAGGCTTCAAAGATGTGATAAATATTTTAAAGAATTTTTTTTTCTGCACTAAGATCGCCTGTATCTCACAATCTTAGCCGAACAAGAAAGCAGCCACTATTTGCCGTAGAAGTTTGCATGTCACTTTTGTTTTCTGTTTTTTTTTTTCGGCTAAAATTTGTTTTTAGTAACTTTTATAATTGCATAATATTCAATAATAATAATGGTAGTAATAGTAGTAATAATAATAAGAATAATAATAAGATTAAGAATAACTTTTATACATTCAACGAACGCTTAAGTGCACAAATATTAGCAATCAAAGAAACAACAAATTTCTTCTTCTCAATTCCCCAATGTTCTTTTACATCGCATTTTTTTCTTCATCATTTTTCTTTTATTACAAAAATTAATTTTTTTTTTAAATTTAGTTTTTCTAACTCAAAGCAAAGATAAGGTTCAATGTAGGAAAAATATAAAAGCTTTAGTGTTTAGTGATGTTCCCTGACAATACTATTGATAGATTTGGCGCAGGCAATGGTTGGCTATAGAAATAGCGCTTGAAATGTTTGATTTAGTGCATGACACTTGATAAGCAAAAAACCTCCTCTTTAGTAGCGTAAAAAACCAACTGATATTAGTTGAACAAAACTGTATTACTTTATAAAGTACAATTAATTTATGTCTAAATTTTTCTACTTTAAGTTCTCAAAAAATTTGCATTTCTAATCAATATGTAAATCCGACGAATTTATCTGTACATCACTAAAATATCATCAGTGTTTAAGGGACTATACACGTAAAACTAGATTTTATCATCAGTTTTTATTCGTCTAGAATGCTAATTTTTACGGTTTTCGACTATGCTGTCGTAGTCGTTGACATTTACATCTTAATTATGATAAAGTTGAAGATGTTTGAAAGGCGTTATCATATTCATGATAGAAAATTTCAACTGCTGAGTAAAATAAACAGAGGAAATTAATAGAGCAGAAATTTCTCAATTTTCCCAAATTTTCTTTTTACTGTTATGATAGTTAACCTATTTAACAGATTTATTGTTTAATCGGTAGTATTATAAACCTGTTTTTTTTTGATAGGGCATTAAATGTGTAGTTGTTTTGGTGTTGAGCAGTATTCAGACGATTATCATTACTTTATCGGTCTTTACTGCTTCTTCAACGAGATTATCATAAAGTATTTAGAAGAAAAAAATGAAGATAAACTGCAATCATTCTTCTCCGAACAAGATTGTCATATGTGACCAATTTGACTGCTTACTGCTTTTTACTGAAAAATTAAGACTGATCCAAAAGATAAACTTTAGAAAAATCAGATTCAAAAATCTGCTTTTAAACACAGACTAAAAGTTTGGCTAAACTGCATTTTGAATATGCAAATTCATATGAAAAATTATCAATCTTAAAAATATACAAATTATTCTCATTTTATCGATATCTTTCACCTCAATATTTTACATTCTTAAATCCTCTAAATTTTTCTTTCTTGGAGGTGTAATTATAGCGACAAACAGAATTGATCGCTGCACCAAAGAACTTTTGAGAAACCAATATAAAAAATCTTTATACTGTTTACGAACCTAAATTGGCATATAAAAAAAATTTTTACACCAATAAACAGTTTTGAAAAAAGAAAATTTTAATTTTGCAGGCGCTTTGAATCTGTCGAGTTTATAATTTGATTTCAATGTTTATTCTTTTTTGCTTAAACATATTAAAATCTAAAAATTAATTTCAAACGTGTTTAATTCAATAATATGCGTCATCTGTCGATCAATTTGATTGAAGATATATTATTACTTCTATATCGTTATTATCGCCATCATTATTATTCACTTTATTATTACCACAATTATTACAGATATTATAAGTGTTATTAACATTGCTATTATTATTGCCTTTTTTGCTGTTACTCTTTTCATTTGATAACACAGTCAAAGTCTAATTTTTCGAGTGCCATAAAGACTTTTTTTGTTTGCAAAGCTGCGAGACTATGCATATCCTAAATGTCTTCAAAGTTATCTCTGTAAGTTGCAGGAAGAAGAGGGTTGGGGTTTTCTATAAAGTCAGGCAGTTATTTGGTTTACGTATGATAAGGTTTTAGAAGAGTGTTGACCGTCAGCAGAATCCTTTTCTGCTCGGTTTTTTTCTTTTTTTTTCAAGGATGGCTGAAGCGGAAAAGCCCAGTGACCTTTCCAATCATCTTTCTTTTCAACAACCTGCAGTTGACGATGATTTTAACAACTGTATTAATAAAGTTTGTTAAACAACGCTGACATTGCATCTTTTAGATGTTTCAGTTGAAAATTGAACGAAAAAGTATAAACAGATAACAAATTTTTAA